CGCGATGGCATGTTATGTTATGCCAGCGGTCGTTTTGTATAAATACAGCCACAAGGACCTTTAGATCAATGCCCATATATCGTGTTCTGGTGTAACCCGAATCCGCCGGTCTCCATGCATGTCAGTATTTGTTGGACATCTCTTGTTGTTGCCGGACGTCAGAAGCAGATCGGTGTGGCAGCACTTTCCAAGCTATGGAGCGTGCTGTGGCAGCACGTCGACTCGATGATAGCGACATCCTGCACACTACACACTACGGATGGCTGTGTGTCTGTGGAGTCTACACTGTCGGCCATGCCGTGCCTGGACACGCCCACTCAAACTCTGGACCGTTGGCATTGTTGCATCGCCGGACCCAGCTTCTGATGCACTTCAGGTGGAACCTGAGTTGCACCGCTTCAAGACTACCGATTGCAAGTCCTCCTAGCCGAGTATGACACGCTGCCCAGCATTGGTCACAGGACCATATGTGGTGGCTCGGCTTCACCTGGCATTGCGAAGCATTCTGTCCAAGTTTCCACGACGCCCGCTTAAAACGGACAAGGCAGCAGGCCTTTGCCAGGCAAATCATGCAGTCATACGAACCTGGACCATGCAGCTCGCCAAAACGGCAAACTTGATGGTTCACAGCTGCGAGAAACAGAAAGAGTGAGAAAACGAGACAGACAGAGAGCGACAGGATGAGCGAGAGCCAGAGAGCGTGAGAGAAACAAAACGAAGATATGCGAGACCGATAGGAAGATATGCCTCTCGACAGCCATATGCCTCGAGAAAGCTGATCCGCAAGTCGCTCTGCCACCTTTTCGCAGCATGGCCGCATTGACAACTTTTAAACTTTTAGGCTAGCGTCGTTCGCAAAGATGCATCCTCAGCTTCTTGCAGTTCCAGTACTGGAACCGTAGCGACGAGGCTGGGATTGGTCAGATGCCTCCGCAGACAAACAGGTGAAGCCCGCGTTCGACCCCAGACTTTGGATCACAAAATCCCACCTTGACAAGTTGCGCAATAAGATGTTCAAGGCGCATCAAGTGCAAGCTGTTGAAACTTGTCCTGAAGTTGCCTTCGGAAGCATCTCCTGTGCGTCGCCCACAGGCATATCGCTGGAGCGACCTGCGCTACTTGCACTGCTATGGCAATGCGTCATCAGCGAAGGCTAAGGCAGCTGCTGAAATCGCTTGCACTTCCCTTGCCCTTGTTCCTGCTCTTGCCTTTGCCCTTGCCTGGCAAGTCAGCCATGATTGAGTACATCGCAAGTCCAAACTTGCTAGCTGTCGACATGCTGCTTGGCTATGGCCTTTGGAGCTTTTCCTGCTCTCCCCTGGTGCACGGACAGATGTGCATAGTGTTTCAATTCTAGACTTTCTCCAAAATGCGATTCTTTGCAAAGCCTTGCGACTGCTGTGGCTGTGGCTCGGCGCTGGCCGCCTGACGCAAGTCAGGTTCCGGACCGCACGTCAGGACTGCGGCTAGCTTTGCTGTAGTGCGTGGGTCTTCAGTCCATTAGCCACCAAGGTCCTCGAAGAATCCCACTCTTGTCCGTTTGAGTACGCAACTCGCTGTCGCTTAAGCTTGCCTCATCTGCCTGCCTGTGCGGGGCATCCGCCGGCACCCAACGAGCACCACCTGCAAGAAAGCTGAAAGGTGGCATTTTCTCACCAGAGGTTCTCCCGTGTTGCGGCTTGCACAGACGGTCCAAAAACAAGTGCAGATTTGTCAGAACCTTGTTGTTCAAAGCTTCTGTGCCGTTGAGCCCTGCTCCTCCAAGGCGGAACAATCAAACAGCAGGCCTGGCACGGCAAGAATCCTGCACATGGACTGGATTGCGTGACGTCCTGCGGCTGTAACGGCCGGAGCTGTTTCCTGCTGAGCAGCACGGCTTGAGGAAGGATGACGGGGCAACAGCCAGCCGCAAGGGTCAATCTCCAGAAAGCTCATTGTGCAGACCAGACCCTATGCCACCCTTACGTCACAGACAGACTATGACGTCGTCAACGAGTGTAAGGGAGCGCACACTCGCGGCGTACTTCTAGCTTCTCATGGCTACTGATCTGCAGCATCACAGTTGTAACGTCGAGGGATGATCGTACATGCAAGTTTCGCGCTGCATGTTGATTCGAACAACGCTCAGTGTGTGTCATAGCAGCATCCAAGACATCAAAACCTTGGCCAGCGTTTGTGGTCCCGGTTTGTGGTCCCGAACTCCTTCAGGGCCAAGAGGTGGCTCCAGCCTCAAGGCAAGCTAGATCACACGGACAGATTTCAGAACCCTTTGAAAGGCAGATATTCAGGCGACGACATCGAAAACGGCCACGGGCCGGAGCTATAAACGAACTAGAAGGACGAATGGGAAACTGACGAGTCTAGGAGTATCTAGCACTCGGCAACAACCAGACTTTAAATTGCCAAAGTGAGGCAGTTCGGACCTGAGCGTGAAATGACCAACTACATGAAATGTCTTCGACTCGGACCCAAACTAGCGGCAAGTACTACAGTTTCCCAACATTGCATCAGCAGGATGAGCAAACACTTCGACGCACTGGCCTGTTGTTCTCTCATGCGGAGACTCTCGTAGCAGCTCGGCAAGCGAGTCAATGCTCATAAAACTTGAAAATGTGACATACATCACTTGGCCGCACGATCGGAAGGAACACGTCGTTTGACGATATCGATGCCAACCGTCGACACTTGCGGAAGAGAGCTGCGTCGGATCTCGGAAGCTCTGCCATGCCTTGGACGAGCTCGGCTTTGGCCAGGAAGGCGAGGTTCTCCATCATATCAGGAAGGCTCATACCAGCAAGTACCTTGTCCATTTGCAGCGAAAGTTTTAAAAGGCGGCACCATGTGCCGCTCAGTCTATTTTTCAATTATTTTTCCCCTCTGTATACCGACAATGACACCCAAGCTGAATCTAAGCATGGTTTTCACGGCCGAAACTTGTGGCCGACTAGAATGAGGCTGACATGCTGAAACATGGACTACCTATGTAGAGTGGATGTTGGTGTTGCATTGTCCTAGATCGTTGTAAATCTTGTCTCGGATCTCTTGGGGAACCTTTACAGAACTTTACAGGGGATCCTTGCAGGGAGTCGTCCTTCTGAATCCCTTACGGGAAGCCCTAACAAGCGCGAGCTCAGTAGCCCGGAAGGTGGCGCCCTTACCGCCCGTTACGGACATGCGTTTATCTTACTTCTCTTGCTGCTTTGGTCAAAAGACCTCTATAGTTCGTGTACATGTAATGATGGAAATCTCTCAAATTTTTCTACAACACATTATGAAGACCTCCGTTTCTCCTTGTTTGCACTATGCAACCCGGCACTCGACCCGGTTTTGAAAGTTGGGAGCAAGCTTGTTCGGCTTGAAAGTGAGTCGTGAAACACAGACCCCATTTCAAACCAAGCTTGCTCAGGGAGCACCCCGAATTGTAAGACAATGCTGGTACGATGGGTTTGGAAAGGATTTACATGGGTCTGCCTGCCTAAAACTGCTCGGACTCGGGGGTGGCGAAACCGACAGTTTCCGTTTGTAACAGAACGCCGTACGTCGGTTTCGAAAAGAATTCACATTGGGTTTGGAAGCAATTCTGATTCATGGCCTGGTAGTCTGTCTTTAGACCAGCTTGCAAAGGGTTACAAGGGCGAATCTCTCCTGAAGGTGTTTAAAGGCCCGGAAGACCCCAAAGGGTTCAGGCTTCACACTCAGGCACCCCGTAACCCGTCCTTTGAAACATCCAGGCCCGTCGGGAAGCACAAGTAAGAGAATGACTCAGAATGACGGTTAGTTGCTACAACTCGCCATTCCCAATTACATTGGTTCTGGATTCTTGCAGTGGCGTAGCAAGTTTGTGCGGCAGAAGCCTACTAGGAAATCGACCATGCCCGGAATCGGCATGTTGCAAACAACATCCCAATTTGGGGGGGGAAACATCTACGCTTGTCGACAACCGTAGTATAACGACAAGGGGGCAGCTCAGCTTCAAAACAAGAATAAGAGCAGCAACTGGTCAGGCCAAGTTGAGAATATTTGGACAGTTTCTGGAGGTTCTGAAGTGCGAAAGTAGAAAGAAAGCCGGACAAACACACTTGCTTCCTTCCTTCCTTTCTTCCTCGCTTCCTTCCTAAAGCTTTGAAAAACCATGCATAAAAATAAAAACGCCCCTTCAACAACTAGTGTCAAGTTGTGGGAAACTCCAAGGCCAGTAGCAGAATGCTCGGCACGGGGAAGTTGAGAGTCGAATCCCCAAAGCTGACAGAAAAATCCACGTCATGCCATCAGAAGAATCCCCGTCTAGCCATACTTGTCTGGACCGGGCAGCATCGGGCAGCTGTGGTCAAATTTCTCGGTACCGCGTAGAGGGTGAAGCTGATGCTGCTTGCTCCAGGTTTCGTACACTTCGAGCAGCCGTTCGCGGGGATGATGTACAGGACGGCGCTGGAGTCGAGGGGATTCTGTAGGACACAGTCGATGGAATAGCTTGGAAACCGATCTGGAATGGCTGTACAGGTGTCCTCCACTGCGGGCTCAAAATGGTCGCAGCCGGCAGTTGCGTCCGGTAGACAGGGACGGGAGTGGGAGGATTGATTGCGACAGGGTGCTGCAATTGAGCATTGTGATTTTCGTAGCCGGCTGCGCCCACGGGCCAGAAAGCCGTCATCTCCCGCCAAGGATCATCCGGTGCAGGTGTTGCGGGACGAAATGTGCGATTGTATGCATTCTTCATGAGGTTCAGTCGGCTCTGAAACGTGCTGAAGCTCCAGAGTGCGACTTCAGTCGGAGCAAGATTTGCATTTTTCAAGACTCTGATGCACAGACTTGGTGTCCCCAGCTCGTGCAGTGACAGCACTGGCGATAAAGTCAGCAGCTCGTAGCTCAAACCATCATGTGGCCTGAGCGCTTTGGAAAAAACTTTGGCATCCTCTATCATGTTCCGCGCCTGCATTGCACGCTTCAAAAACTCGTCCTTCGATGAAGTACTGGACACCATGTCCTCTTCCAACGCACGCAGGTATCGTCTGGCCCGTTCCATTTCGAGTGGTGAGCACGCCCGCTCGGCAATGATGCCTTCAAGACAGCATCATTTCCAAGACTGAACTCTTAAATTCAACCGGCAGTCCAACTCTAGACAACAGCACGAGAAGCACTCCGAGCCTCTGATGGCGGCGTTGGTGGACTCGTCGTTTGCACCTCCCAAGACCATAAGTGAACATTCGCTTCGGTTGCCGGAACGTTCGGGGCCCTACTGTGGACGTCAACTTCAAACCCGTTCAGCCCTCGCTTCCGAAAGATGCGACGGACTTGTTTGACATCCCTTCCCTCGCGGCGGTGGCCGCCGGGCTTGCCGCATTGCTTCCATTGTCATGGCAATCTTATCGGCTGCGGGCTTGCCATGTCTTGCCTACTTGCCCGTGCTTCTGACATGAAGAACTCAGACAAGCTGGGGACACACTTGGACCGCGACTGGAAGCCCAAGCAGTTGGAGCGCAAGAGTTTGGAAGCCAGGAGCCTTCCTCTGCACGGCCACTGAACAGGAGGGCTTGTACCGTTGGATCCGGCTTGGTGAAGACGAAGAACCTGCCCAACAGTGCAGACTAGTCTGCGTTTCTCAACCACCAGATCCAAAGCAGGCAGAGGCTACGATAGAAATGGCATAAGATCTTCGCCTGAAAGACTGGCCGAGCACGACGAAGTCCTGATGCAGCAGCTCTTTCGCTTCCGCGCGAACGAGTCGTGTGCCGTTGACCTCTGGGGAGGGCGCCAAGACTTGTTGTTCGGAGCTTGACGACTGGGTTCCACCTACCGCCTGCATGAATCTTTCCACAATCTTACTCTTTGTTGACATCCGTTATGAGTCTTACAAATGAACATTTCCGATCTACAGTGCACTGCACACCCAGAAGGTCAAATGATTATCTCTTGGAATGTGCCCCAAGCAGGGGCAGGTCGAGTACAGGCACCCCTCTTGCCAGGTGCAGGCTGTGAGCCTCAATGGCGGCCGAAGGCAGAAGAATAATCCCCAAGGGCTTGAGGAAAAGGCGCCCCGACTCCTGATGGGAAGTACTGGCCCCGCACTGCACAGGTTGAAGTTGAAGACCGAGAATATCGAAATAAATAAGCTAGATGTCCTTGTCAGACAATCTGTGCTGGGAGAGTTTGCCAGTTGGCACCATTGAGGACGGATTCAGACCCAAGAATACCGGCATATTCCTGCAACCTCCTTCTAAAGGAAAGGATTGGTGTGCAAACCTTTCTGCCCCTCAGAGTCTGTTTTGTAATGCTGGCGCCCATGGAACGAAAACACGCATGTCGACGTCTGGCAGAGCCTGTGATGTTGGATTGATCCCATGGCGAAACAAAGCTTTAGCAGAGTTCCCTTGACAAGGATTTTCTGAAATTGGGGGAGGCAATGGGCGGGAGGCTGTCCAAGAGCTTGCCAAGAAATTTCTGGAGTACACGACGTGCTGATGCTTACGAGGATGCTGCATTGAAACCTTTGTCCTGCCAAATGAGGCATGTCTCTGGACCTCGGCTGCCACGGTCAAAGGCTCGGCTGCAAGCAAGTTGGGCGAAACGCATCGGCAACCCTTTGGGAAACCTGTATGGGATCGAGACAAGCAAACATGAGCCAACAACAGGACAGGTTATGCATCCGAGCAGCAAATGCCTGGCGTCTGCGGTAGTTGAAAATCACACCGGGATGAACCTAGGCGCTTCAAGCCAATTCATTTGCTTCGAGGATCCCCTTTCTGCTGCTAAAACACATCCCAGGACGTAGTGCCGCCCTGCACAGGAGAGCGCTACCACAAAGGCTTGTAGCTGCGCCTGGCACGGCTGGTTCCACTGCCTTCTTCTTCAGCATGAAAGATAAGTCGGCCGCTGAAGCTGGGATCTTTGGAATAGATGACCAAGCCTGACACGACACAAAAAAAACACACACTTGCATTGCCGGTCGGTGCCGG